TGTGGACGACAAACACAGCCGTCTGTTACACGTCACAGATGTGATTGCGAAAGTTCGCTACCTCGTCAATACTGGCGCAGATGTTAGCGTTCTTCCAGCGAATCTCGACGACCGACTGCACCAACCGGTTTTAAATTCACAGGCGGCAAACGGAAAGCCTATCGCTATATATATCGTAAAAGGTACGTTTACCTTAAACTGATTTTACGCAAACTCATTCACTATATTTTCTTTGTTGCAGATGTTTCTATGCTGATCATTGTTATAGACCTGCTACAACACCAAAATCTACTCATCGATACGCGCAAACGGAGCCTAGTAGACGGAAACACTAATATATCTGTTTGTGTAACTTCTTTTTCTGGTTGCAGATTATCTCCAGGCACAGTCAGGCACACGATAGATCCATTTTATCAACGATTACTCAATAAGTACTCTGGGATATGTCAACCGCAACCGACATTGTCGTGTGCAACCAGCAATGTTACACATCACGTCACGACTGTAGGACCACCTGTATTCTTAAAAATGATACGACTAGCTCCCGAAAATCTGAGATTGATCAAAAACGTATTAAATCACATGATAGATTGAGGAATCATTCTGTCATCAAGCAGCCCATGGGTATCTCCATTACATATGGTCCCTAAAATGCACAGCGTCGATTGATGTCCAACTAGCGACCATCCTCGGCTGAACAAGTAGACCATTCCTGATCGTTGCCCATCGCCGACTTTTTTGGGAATCAACTTGGATAAACCATATTAGCGTGTTCTCAAGGCTGCTGGTGACATTCCGAAAACCACTAAAATTTATCCTTCCGGTCTATACGAGTACACACTATTGATGCTCAAGGCAACCTATGAAAAGCAAAGCGGCGCGCATTCTGGATTGCCCAGAACCAACCACAATCAAGCAATTACGCACGTTTAATGGACTAGTAAGTTTCTATGGATGATTCATGCCAAACTGCGTGTCCATTATTAAACCCCTCGTCGACCAACTTCGTGGAAATGCGTACCGTGCCTCAGATCACCTTGACAAAAATTTTTGCCTTCACACAGCTATTACATCTCATTAGATAAACCAGTACAGATTTCATGTTGAATGGAGACCATCATGTTAGTGTCGTATTTTTCGTAACTATTATCTGAGTCCTAAGTAAATTATGCTTTCAGTCAACATAAATACATCCCACTAAGAAGAAAGCTTTAAAAATTAACTTGACACCCATTTAGCTACTTGTGTTTTGTCGTCTTTAGCTTAGGACAGCGGCTGATTATATGCACGTGTAAGGAAAGACATTTCCACACCTTTTATCCGGCATAATACACGTCTTTCAACTTTTCTATATTATTTTGCATACTGTCACTTCTATTACTGTCAGGACTATCATCTTATTATTATTATTATTATCATCGTTGACATGTCATGGCTCTTTTTCTCATTGTTACATCCTCGTATTTGTTTGTTCTTAAGTTCTTGTTTCGTTCTATTAAACTTATTCACATACCCTCTTCTTCCTTAAATTCCAATGTTCAGCTTTCATGATGAACCATCTAATCTCATGATCTTCAACTGAATGGCTGATGATTTCAGAAACCCAATCGCTCTTGCATTTCATGGGAGAACAACATTGGGCAGTGCTATAACTTGTGACGGCCGATCAGAGAGCAGTGACTTATCGATCGGATCAAAGACGCCTAAACACGTGCGAGCAGCGTGGAGTCCTGATTGGCCCTGCTTCTCGCCTAGCCCAGCCAGTTAAGTCAAGAACACAAGTTTCAGCCTCTGCAATATGAATCATTATGCTTCAAACATACTCTGTTTATATGCCAATCAGCCAGACCACATCGTACCATAAAATAGAAAATAATATTTGTAAAATATTTGGCCAACAGGAAAACGACACGTGAAATAAATATTGACCAGTGGGAAAATGATACCATTTCAAGTCCAAGGATAGCATTAGACTTAACAGGATAATTTTTGGGAAGTTTTTTCTGAATATCGCAACAGGCAGTCACACCAGGAATGTTCTTAACTCACTCAAAAACGTACGCACCGAGTCATCTTGAAGTCCAGAAGATCGTTTCATCCCCTCTTTTCAAAACAGATATAAATCTCTTGAATGGAATACATAGGTGGGCAACCAAATGTACGATAGGTCTGAAACATAAATCTTGCGTTGACAGCCCCCAGCACTTGGGGTTATTCTCGCTGAGCTATGGCGGAATGCGAAATGGTATGATAATGGCATGCTTGTTAAATGAACCAAGTCACCCCAACAAGAAATTGTTACCAAAATTTCAGATTGATTTTGTGGATATTATAGTAATTTCAATGGTTAAGACCATCAACACGCTAATCGAGGAAACCCACAAGAGCTTGCACATAAAAGGGCTAACATCCGGGCACGACTTCATTTTTTGTCACTAATTGTTGCTTCCATTTGAAACGCTATCCCAGTTGCAGTGACCACAACCACCTCACCGGATAACTTCAGGAGGAGACCTGACCAACACGTACTCACTCGTAGATTACCATCCAAATATTGTACTGCATGCGCCTGATGCATGTCTCATAATTTACCACGGTTATCATTAAAAAGATACTAATAAATGCTTCCCGTCTAGCTTATTATCCTCTACGTTTCTCCTCTTAGTCTTTAAACCTGATCTCATGTTGTCTGTATCACCAATTAATTATCATATTTATTCCTCGAAATACCCGTCTTCTATTAGTATTGGAATTTTCCGTTTCGTATTTCCTACCTTGTAACCAACCAACCTCCCGCATGGTAGTGCGACGGCAGTTGATAACCAGAAACCCTGTTACCCTGAAACATACGCACTCACATGAGTTACACATACAAATCCACAAAAACAGACAAACTAGCCGGAATTAGCGCAGTTGAGCTGTTAAACTACCAGCTACTGGACATTTCCAAATCCATGGAACCTAATGGAAACAACAAAAACAGTTCAAGGAATCTGTCAGTTTATACAAGCTCATGACAAAAATATTGGATCCCATGGATCGATAAGGAAACCCGAAAGCTGCTGAGGTACACGAAACGGTTTGATGACCTTTGTCAACAGACAACAAATCATTTAGGTACGAGTATCGAAAAATCTAGGACATATGCAAAAGGAACACAGCTACATAACAAAACACCTACAAAATACAGTTAACACGTTTATATTTGACTGAAGAAGCTGCTTCTCAATTGATCAGTAACTCCTGACACAGTATTAGTGCACATCGAATACGGCAACAGTTACTAGTATAGGGTCAACCGTACATCAACTTCACGGGTGCAGGAACAAAAGGACTTAGGGTTGACAGAGATTCACGGCTTAAAAGCAACTGTGCGTCATTATCATCAACGGTGGCAGGCCGTTTGAAAATTTGGGCTACCCGTTCCTACCATCGGAGTGTTTCGACAAGTTATCTTTATTTTATTTTCACATATTATCATGTCTATTAATTTCATAACCAATTCAGGCGCACATATGAAGACCTATCACCTTTCAAGGTACAAAAAGTACAATCAGAGACATCGTGATGACTAACAATATGTATTGAAAGAAATGGACGACAATCAAATGTTGATTCTCGAACTGCCAAATTTTAACTGCCAGTTACTAATTTGCAAGGTGAATTATCTTTTATTTCTACTAAGTCATAACATATATCGTAATTGTGGTATAATCACAAACCAAGAATCTCTGTTAAATGATCTAAAAGATGACGGATTAGTATCAATACAAGATTTCAATATCTATTACTGGGATCGACCAAGCAATGAGAAAATGTTTGGGGGTCGTTGTGGTTACGTTTGTAAATGTAATCGATCTATGTCAGCATGTTTTAAGCTTACAAACGACTGTCGACTACTCAACTTTACGTTGCGAACCAAAACACAAGAATAAATGTTTGCCTTAACAACATTTACGTAACTGCAAACTCCACATCATCTGCGGTGTTTTCGCCGATGACTTCCTTGAATTTGCCGATACTGAGTTCAGTACTACATTTACAGCTATATGTAGTGATTTATTTCATGTGACTGTAGCTTTCTTTTGTCACTAGGTCACCAATGTGTAGTAGATTCTCCCACTTGTTTGTATGCCCATTTAGACTTCGTTCTCATTAATGATTTGGGTACATATGTGTGCCGTAAACGTGCTCCATTGTCTAGCTCGGATCACTGTACATTTTGTGTCCTATCTAATATATATGGAAATCATGGGAATAGTGCACTCTTACATTAAATAAAGGAAGTCAAACACAGGAGTTACTCAGATGAAAATACTCAAAACATGAAAGACGTATTTCATACGATTCAATGGGAGTTATTTGCAAATAACTCACTTGAAAACATCATTTGTTATCTTAATTCCTGTTTTAATGTTTGTCGTTTTACTGAAGCTAATTTTGTAGGTTTTGACTGACTTGCATTTCTACAACTAAAACGATTACAGGAGCGAGGGCAAAGAATGATTGTACAAGGAGAAAGACTCCACAAAAGTTAGGAAACTAAATGGTTTAATAAACTTAGAAATTAGAAGTCTAAAACTGATGTCTGTTGAAGAATTATTGTCCTGTAAAAACTCCACGCATTTGGGAATCATTTAAAAAAAGTACGCGCGAAAGACACATTGTGAGCGATAACTAGCCGAGTGCTTATGACTTAAATATGTTTCTTATACGTCAGTCATTCGATGTCATGCTTCCTATATCCACAGGTTTTATGAGTCGTTATGTTTTAGTTTCCACTGAAACACATATTTGAAAATGTCTCTTGTCACGTAACTCGCTAAAACTTTTAAGACTAGTATCATTAATAAATCTTATTATTGCGCTACTTGTGGAAATTATCATATCTAAGGCCACATCAAGAAAGTCCGATAAACCGTGAACTAATATACTTCTAATGGGATTTCGTTTTTCTCATCGAGTGGTCAATGACTGAAAAGTCTTACCAGAAAAAATGGTTTCAGTCCAATCAGGGAAAATTTTTAGGTGGAGACTGAACCTTCTATGATACTTACAAGTATTTGAATTAAGTTGCTAACTAAGAATTCCCGAGATAATGCAATTTAAGCCAGAAGTAAAGGAACACAACTGAACGCGTCATATTTTGAATTCGCAAAAAGCGTGAAATCGCGTTGAAAAGAGTCATCAAATAGCACAAACACCACATCTACACTGCAACACAAGTTGCTAGGATGAATACAGGCCCTTCCTTAAAACCGAATACTGAGAACTGAAAACAAAAGCCGCTAATTGTAAACAGTGAAGGTCATCTTCGCTGCGTTGACAAATGAGTCCGCTTTGTTACCTTTTTGTAGTATCTGCTTCTGTACTCCTTACTTTAGGAGATGCAGAGATGTTTGGGGCACCCAGAAAACTGCAACCGAACGAGGCGACCATAGAAAAATTTAATCGTGAGTTGGTCAAGGTAGCCCATAAATTCAACTCCGAGCATGGAAACAACAGTCTTCATATCATAACTAAGTTGGTAAACGTGACTTCCCAGGTGAGGTTTTGTCTTTACAAGTTACCATTTTTACAGGTCGTTCAGGGGATTTTATATACATTTTACGTTAAGTTTTCCCCTACATCGTGCACAACTTTTGCCTATGACAACACTCGTAAGATAATTAACACCATTTACTAATATGTGTATCTTAGATGTTTTGGGCGACATTTTTCTTAATCAGAATTCTTGTGACGTAACTGGTGGAGAGGTATTTTTATTTATGTTAATGCTGTTTATTTTCTACTTAGAGTAAGATTTGCAAGGTCACTGTATGGCAAAGACCATGGCTCCGATCTGATGCTTCTGAGATAATTAAAATAGTTAATTGTTCTACGGATAAGATCTGATCTGCTCTCGTTCTATGCTATGCCATAAATTCATGTAATGGTGGGGATTTAGATTTTAACATTTGATTATTCGTATATAGCAAAGTTTGCTTCATTCGCCTTGCGTGTATTTGATCCATTAGTTAATTAGATTTGAATTTCACGGAAATAACCTGACTTCATACTCTTCATTTCTGGCGATTCATTATTGAACCTAATAGTCGCATTTGATTTTGTTTGCAGTAATATATTCTAGTAAAGTAAATATGATTTCATGAGGCTAATATTTTTCCGGCAGTTTACTTCTAATTTCATATTTGGGGACTACTGACAAACAATCATTATCTCTGGCATTTAAAAACTATTCTTATTAGTTTCTTTTAGCTGCTCTTATAACTTATTCATACATGGGATTTCATTTTAATTTCGGTGTTATAATTGTTTTACGTGTTTTAAACCGTGAAAACTTGTTAATACTGAATGATAAACTTAAAACTAGATTTTGCCGTGCTTCATTTGTGTTCGGTCAATAAAGGTTTTTTCATATTCAAATGTTGTAAGTTGGTTTTAATTTTGTTTGTCTTTTTAGTTCGGTGTGTAATCAGAGCTTATATTTTATTTTCAATAGAAATAATAGGCGTAGGAAATCTACGTCATAATCTTAAGAGACATGTATATTCACTAAATCTACTTTTACATTCACCCTCAAATTCAAAACTTACACAACTTTGTGTTCTTTTGATCTTCCTGATGTATTGTGCAGGTTATATAAACGAGATGAAAAATGACTCATCCTGTCTTATACTGCTTGTCACTACTATTCCATATGTTTTAATCACTCCTTTTAGATTCATTTCTACTGAACATCATTTTCGAAAATATTAGCTTATAAAGACCAGATAATTTAACTGTCGTTCATGATGTGGTCGTTTCAGCGTCAAACAATCTGAAACCACTTACAATGTGAATTGAAAGACATAAAGCCCATAACTGAAGTTATGAATCTAGATCAAGTGAATTAACTGACTAGTGTGTAATACTTGCAAAGTTACTGTTCATCGTGATGTATGATGTTTACTGAAGTAGGATTATATTCGGGAAAGCCGAATATGACAACGCAAATACTTCGCATTATTCCGAGTCTTCAGGAAAGTAAAGTTAGTATTAAAAGATTACAGATGGAATGCTTAGAACCGACCGTAGTAGGTTGAATGGATTAATTAATCAAATTGTATTGAATTTCTCGTTACTTGTCATTTACCTTTAACTTGTTGCTTCTATGCTACTAAACTTGTTCTGTAGTAAACTATGATAGCTTGAAGAGATGTGCTCTAATATTTGGCTTAGTTTTCATGTTTTCACACTTGAACTGTCCTGTGCAGTTAGATGTGAGAATAATAAGGATTTGGAAAAAATTGTAAAGTGCATGGCTCAGTCCGAAAGGCAAGCTTTTGAAATCTAAGAGTTGGTTCGTTAAGGTTGTGTTTGTCTTTTTTACTAAGATTGCTGAGATTTGTGGAAACCCACTGGAAGTGGGATTTATACCAATTTTTATTTCTTTGTATTCGTAATTGGTGTTCTTAAACATGACAAGTAAGTTTTGGCCTCATTATTACCTCTATTATTCAGGTTATTTCAAATTAGGGTCATGTTTAGTGGGCTAAAGTTTAAACTACATACTTGCACTTAGAAAGGGCTATATAACTCAGGCATCCTCAAGTAAGACAAGATGGTAAAGTGAAACATTAACTCTTTTGAATTATTTATCTGTTAATATACTCACCTATTGTCGTAAAGTTATTAAGTCTCAATATATTTTGCGCTATGAGGTTACGTTCTACTATTCAAAGTACTTAGTATAATTTAATATATAGTAGGATAAATCTGAGTACGGTTGGAACCAAACAGCTAAAGTTCTTTTACTTTGTACGTATAACGTATGGGAAGTTCGAATTTCAAGAGATACACTTTTTAGTATCCAGAATAGCCAATATCAAAGATAGAAATAATGAACTGGGAATTACCTTATGAGAATTTGATGGGGTTTTAGGGTCTTTGGACATGCATATTTACTCCGTAGAAAGTATGATCTACGTTATCATATAGTGAAATAGGTTTGATTTCAAGTACTTAATACAAAACTGCTCACTAGTTGCTTTCCAAAAAGATTGATAACAGATGCCCTATCTTTAAACCCTTCACGATCAACCCACACAAATTTGTTACAGTTCTTACATAAAGATAACCTGAATGGAAACTTGAGTGAGAAAAGATGTGGACAAAGCTCCAAAGGTTTAGTTGTTGATTAAATCTACGAAAGATAAAACCAATCGAATATTTTAAATGAAAACTTTTTATCGCTAAAAGGAATCAGACAAGATAATAAATTTGCAAAATATGCGAAAATACGGATTGTCGAAAAAATCTGAAACCAAATAAAAATAGTTACATAGGTAGTAGTGTGCAAATGTTGTATATCTCAGTGTCCAACATATCCAAAAGTTTCTATACACGAAACATTACGTCCAAAATTAGTATTATGAGTAAATGTCTTGAAAATACATCTATCAGACAAATGTTTAGGGCACCGCCTTCTAATATAACAGGTTCGTCATAAGCCTAGTAAGTGGGCAGCAATACTAGAGAACACAGAGCGAACAGAATCACGTGTATTTTATAAACCACAGTCAGTGAACAATGTATATTTACACCAGTAAGTTGACATTGTGATCTAGACACTGTTGTATCATCAGTAATTGACGATCAACAACTTAAATGAAACTATGAGAAATATAAATAGTAGGAAACATAGTTCCAGTCTTATTATACCATCTCTACATAGTAAGGGAACTGTGTCCAAAAGTTATTCTGAAGTAATACTGATGCGAAGTATTTAGAATCCTTCATAAAATATTTGGTTGCAGGTGATTTAATTTTTCTTCCTGCTATATTTTACATTTTTATTTCATGCCAGCTGGAATTCGTTTTTCCTTATTTTATCACGTAGTTTCTATTTCTGTTTATAATTTAATATGTCACTTTGTGTTAATCTGTCAGTGTGGCCAAAAATTCTACAAAATTTAGAAAAAAAATGTAAAAAACCTGTTCTCTAAAGTAACTTTTTAAAGTTTACGAGTTCGATCAACGCTAAGGGACTAAATAAATGACATTGGTTACTACTCAATTATCAGTCATTTGTAAAAATCCCAGTCCGACTGTAGGTTAGTCAGAAACTGGATGGCGTTTGGTGATGTTTTGAACTGTGAAACTGGGTTGCGAGGGATCGGATCCTACGGGGGAGCTTTACTTCCTTCAAGACTGTAGATACATGCTACTGAAGAGCTCCATATAACACGTGACCTAGGTCAACTAGGTTTTTCTGCCAAATACCATCCAACTACCCAAAAAATTATGAGATGTCGAACATTTACGTTTCTACTCTTTGGGATATTAAAATTATTTCTTGAGTTCTAAAAACCAGTTTATCACTATATATATATGGGAAACACCTTAATATTATCATTAGGACGCAAGTACTTTTAAGCATGGTCAGATAGAGGTTATCAGTGGAATCGAGTCGTTTCGTCTTGTTTGAGACTCATCAGTTGGAAACACCTGAATGCTAGAGTTGGCGATCACGCTGGGATTCTTGAACGTTTTATATCATTTGATACTTATGTTAAAATTTACTGTCTGATGACACAATAAGGTCTTTATTAGTGTGGTGCTAAATTGCACTCGGGTAGATCAGATAGACGTGCGCATTCATTGTATTTCTGAGTATTAAGTAATCACCACGTTTAAAACATGCATTTGTATTTCCTGATAAGGATAATGCTTATGCTTGGAAACTATGTTGTTAATTGTACTTTTGGATCATTAGTAATGTTGGTACAACTAAGTAGAAGTGTTACAAGTTTTAACACTTCCATCAGGTATATTCTACGATAAGGTGTTTGAAAAAGTATTGATAAATAGTATCAATAAAATATCTATATGGACGAATATATTTTGTTTTTTTTAGAAGCGTATTTATATTTAATGGAAACTTGACTGATATGATAGCTTTTAACTAATCAGAAAGTGAACAATCTGTAAAAATACTTTGCAATATTATATTGTTTTATTATGTGGTCCGCTGTACGATGGTTTCAAGTTGAATACAAATTAATCCTCGAAATAAATAATTAACAATCGATAAAGATCAACAGAAATTTTCGGTAAAAGGTATGGGACTACAATAAACACTGAAGGGTAATTGATAAAATATGGCCTTTTAGAAGGTGACGTCAATTATGAATCTTGTAAGGGTTATAAGTTCTTGATAGGTTAAGTCCTATGTAAACTGATTAATTTCAAGAATGGGATACTTAAATGTAGTGTCTGAAGTTATTCTTTTAATTTAGTTCCAATGAAATAAACAATAATTATGCAAGTGACTTATCGGAAGCTTGACATCATTCGAAACATTGTTATAAATTTGTTTGATTGTTGATCCATGTCCATCTAAGTGTACACTCAGACTTGGTAATACGTCTACAAGTTACACCACAATTTTCAACGAACTCAGCTCTACTGAAATCGTCCTCCTGAACCACAGCTCTTCGTCATCTCGGTAGTAGTAGGTAGTTGAAGATTCATCCTTCATATTCCTACTAGTATTCATTATCAATGTCATTATTGTTGTAGTTGAAATGTGATTTATATAATTTACCATTTTAGCTAGATTGCGTTTCTTAATGTCGTACACACTACAAAACACAGTGTTCGACTATTTATAAAAATGCATCTGTCGTTATCGGAGGTTTTGCGCTATAGAAGTTTCAGTAAATCAACTAAATATCCCGTTTGTTCAAATACTTATTATTGTAGTGAGAAATGATCATTCGGTAAACTGACTTTTAGAAAATCTTGAAGTGTTTGAATAAATTTTGTTTTCTTAATACTATAAAAGTGTAGTTTCTCGGCTTTTTTTAGAAACGTAAGTCATACATCCGTTTTTAGCACGGATCAAGTAGATTGGTTTTATACGTGCTCCAAAATTCACTTTCATTTCAACACACTGACATCAGTATTCTCGGTTATAGACCTGCTGTGTCAAATACCGTAATTGGTCTAAAATTACTCGAATACGATTTACGAATAAGTGAGATCATTTCGTAATTCTACACTTTATTAACCGATGATTGAACTGTGACAATCATGGTATTGATATAATTGTCACTTGGATTGATTTCGCTTGTTATTCTTTCTTTTAACACTTTCTAATGTATAACATGTATTTTCTTTATGACAAAACATTAGAAGTCCTGTTTTTTTCCTTTTTAAATATCATCCTTAAACCAATTTTCTAAATTTGTCTAATTCACATTTCAAAACTTTGAGAACTTTAGCAGTAAAGCGGAGGATTAGGCTTACCGCACATTTGACTGTTCATGTTTTCCTGAATGTCAAATTTTCACTCAAACTTTTGATCAGAAAACCTTATTACAGCATCTTATTTCAAATTGAATTATTCTGCTTCATAGTTACCACTCAATTAAAATTGTATGAGTTTTACCTTTTATCATTTGTTTGTAATTAACTCGGATTGAAAAAAAGATGAACTTTTATGTATGGTTTCTCAGCTTATACTTACTGTTTTCTCTTTTCTCTTGCCTTCTAGAAATTGTATATATTTCTTTTAATTAACATCGAATATTTTAGTTATCGCAAATACAGTTCATAAATGGTCAGTAAGTAACAAGACATTTTCTATATACATTCTAGTAAAACATTTATACAACATCCGATTATCAGTCAATCTCTTAAATATTCAACCTGAATAACTAATCTGACTATTTTTCCTTGACGTCAAACAGTTGTTGATAATTATGTTTATAAAATATATGAAGTTTGGA